TGGAAGGAATACACAGAATCACTGTACCAAAAAGAATTGATCTATGTTCATCCATTTCAAGAGGTGGCATATGATCAAGAACCAATGGTATTGAAGGAAGAAGTCAAAGCTGCACTGAAGAAATTGGTGAAGAACAAGGCTCTAGGAATTGAGATGTTTCAACAAACAGATGCCCCGCTGGAAATCTCAGCTATGCTAAGAGATTTGGAAGACAGCTACCTAGCCAACTGACCAGAAGAGATCCATATTTGTACACATTCCAAAGAAAGGTGATCCCACAGAATGTGGAAATTATTGAACAATATCATTAATATAGCACACAAGTAAACTCTTAGTGAAGATAATTTAAAAAACGGTTGCAGCAGTATATTGACGGAGAACTTCCAGAAATGCAAGCCAGATTCAGAAGAGGATGTAAAACAAGGGATGTCATTGCTGATGTCAGATAGATCTTGGCTGAAAGTAAAGAATACCAGAAAGATATTTACTTGTGTTTTATTGACTATGCAAAAGCATTCTATTGTATGGATCATAAAAAATTATGGATAACATTGAGAAGAATAGAAATTCCAGAACACTTAATTGTACTCATGAGGAACCTGTACATAGACCACGAGGCTGTCGTTCAAATAGAACAATGGGACACTATATGGTTTAAAATCAAGAAGAGAGTGTGTCAAGGTTGTATCCTTTCACCATACTTATTCAATCCATATGCTAAGCAAATAATCCAAGAAGCTGGGCTATATGAAGAAGAACATGACATCAGGATTGGAGGAAAATTCGTTAACAATCTGCAATACGCTGATGACACAACTTTATTGCTGAAAGTGAGGATGACTTGAAGCATTTACTGATGAAGATTGAAGACTACAGTCTGCAATATGGATTGTTGTTGTGTTGTTGTTGTTATGTTCCGTCGAGTCGGACCCAACTCATAGCGACCCCTCCTTGGGTTTCCGAGGCAGTATCACTACTGAAGTAGATTGCCCCATCTTCCTTCCGAGAAGTGGCTGGTGGGTTTGAACCACCAGCCTTCTGGTTAGCAGTCAAGTGCCTTAGGCACTATGCTACCAGAGCTCCTGCAGTATGGATTACACCTCAATATAAAGAAAACAAAAATCCTCACACCTGGACCCATAAGTGGCTTCACAATAAATGGAGAAAAGATTGAAGTTGTCATTTGGAGGCAAAAAAAAAAAAAGAAGAAGAAGAAGGTGGGGACCATGTTTGCTGGTCCGATAGAGCCTGGTGAAACCACTGAGACTATGGCCCCTAGCTGCCCTTCAGGTCTGGAATTGAACCCACAACTGTGGTTTCCAGCCAAACAAAGTACAGGCAAGTGAGTTAAACATTTACCTCAAGTAGACACACACCCTGGAGAGAACAATCATGGGAGAAGGAAGGGCTGCTTATGCACAGGGAGACAGCTCAGGGCACAGAAGAGTATGGAGGGATGGACACTGGGAGGAGGTAACTATGGGGAGGAAGTGGGAGGGGAGCTGTTGCATTGTAAATTGTGGTCAATGACATGAGACAAAGTATATGTGAACTGCTGTATGAAAAGTGAATTTACTCTGTAAATCTTCACCCAAATCAAAATAAAATTTAAAAAAAAAAAAAAGATTGAAGTTGTCAAAGACTTCATATTACTTGGTTCTACAATCAGCACTAATTGAAGCGGCAGTCAAGATGTCAGACAGACAATGTATAGCATTGGGCAAATCAGCTGCAAAAGATCTCTTTAAAGTGCTGAAGAGAAAAGATATCTCCTTGAAGACTATCTTCAAGGAGTCTTGAACCAGAAGATATCTCCTTTTGCCTGACACAAGCCATGGTATTTTCAATCGCTTCATATGCATGTGAGAGCTGGACAATGAATAAGGAAGACCAAAGAAGAGTTGATGCTTTTGAGTTGTGGTGTTGACAAAGAATGATGAAAGTATCATGGACTGTTGAAAGAACTAACAAATCTGTCCTGGAAGAAGTGCAGCCGGAATGCTCCTTGGGAACGAGAATGGCCAGACTTTGTCTTGCTTACTTTGGTCATGTTTTCAGACAAGACCATTCCCTGGAAAAGGATATCATGCTTGGTAAAGTGGAGGGTCAATGAAAAAGGGGAAGGACCTCAACAAGATAGATTGACACAGTGGCTACAATGATGGGCTCAGGTATAGCAAAGATCATGGAGTTGGTACAGGACTGGGAAGTGTTTCGTTCTCCTGTACATAGGATTGCTGTGAGTCAGAGATGACTCAATGGCACTTAACAACAACAACAACAGGACCTATGGTAAATAAACCATAACACAGCAATTAAAGATGAAGTGAGGGGCTGTGCCAATTTTTCATAGTACTTTTGTCTGACATCCCTTGAAATTCTCCATCTCCAGCCCAAGGCAGGAGAAAGTGGTTAAGCAGGCAAGTTCTCCAGTCAAACTGCTGGGTTCAAATCCTGACTCTGTCACTCTGTTCATGAATGACCTTAGGCAAGTTACTAACTAAAAGCTCTGTGCCTCAATTTTTCCCTCCATAAAACCTGTTGGGGGTTATTGAGGGTTCAGTGAGGAAATATACCCAAAATACTTAGAATGATCCCTGGCACATAGTAAGTAACTGATGGACATTGCATTTTACTATTTGTTTATAGGCAGAACATAGTTCAATATTGTGGATTGAATTGTGTCCCAAAAAACATATGTTGAAGTCCTAAATCCTGTACCTATGAATGTCACTTTGTTTGGAGATAGAGTTTTTATTTTTCTGTTGTTTAAGTTAACAAGGTCATATTTTGTGTTCTAGTCCTAATCCCTACCAGTCCAGCAATGTTCTAGGTACAGGGATACAGCAGTGAACAAAAAAATTTCTCAGCCCTCATGGAGCTTATATTCTAGGGGTGTTCATAGACATACACTAAGAAAATACACTGACTCCTCACTTATCCACTATCTTGTTATCTGACATTTTACATTTACAACAATAGTAAAAAGTCTACTATCCAACTGTTTTGCACGTTAACAACAAACACTTGTATGCATGCAGTATGCACTTGTATGTTGCAGTAACGAACACCAAGGTGTAAGGCAAGAGTAATGCTGGTTGTGATGGTTAAGGTTATTTGTCAACTTGGCTGGTCCATGATTTTCAGTGGTTTGAGAGTTTTGTAATGATGTAATCATTTTCCATGTTGTGATCTGATGTGATTATTCTCCATTTTTGCATAAAGCCTATTTTCACATAATGACCTGGTCTTTGGAAACTAACTGTGTCAATAAGTGAGGAGTGGGTGTAAATTATAACATGACATGAGATAGTGATAAGTGCTAGGGCATAAATAAGCATGGGGATAGACAGTGATAAGAGTGCTCTTTTGTATGGGGTCATCTCTGAGGAGATGATGTTTGAACAAGACTTATTGGGGGTGACATGAAGGAGAAAGGCATGTGGTTACTTGGTACATGGCAGAGATCACAGCAAATGCAAGAACCCTTGGACAGAACAGAGTGGCCACTGAGCAGGAGTAGAACAAGCAAGGGTGTGTGAGCTGTAGGAGGGGAATCAAGGAGGTATCCAGGGTCATCAGATAATGCACAGGCTTGCAGGTCAATAAAGGTCACTGCAGTCATTGAGTTCCTACTTCCTGCTAGGCTTGAGTTATCACCACATTTTGATAATCACAGAATCCGTGCAGTTCCTTGTAGCCATCCCCATTGGATGGTTACATCTAGATTCATCAAGGGTCTCTCCCTTGCTGCTAATCTACACTCTCTTTCTCTTCCCTTCAATTAGAAAATATTTCCTAGAGCAGAGAAATCCACTTTTTAAGTGCAATGACATATTTATTTACCATCTTCGTTATTTTAATGTATTTGCTCTAACCTTTTCTTATATTGGGCAAGGTATGGTCCCTTTCTTTCAAAAAGTGGTGAAAGTTACTTAGAGCACATTTGTACTAACAAGAAAAGTTGAAGAGAAATTTAGCAGTAGATCAATATTTCATCATTTCTGGATTCTGTTTTACAAGAAAGACCTATCTTGCCTTACTCGGTCTGTACCATCAAGGCTACTTTGTGTGAAAATGTGCAGGTGTTAAATTAGTTAGTAGAGAGTTCTAGGATTGTTTCCCAAATGAAATGAAGTCATAAATAAATCTAAAGGTATTTAATAAGACTTTCTGGTCCATATTGAGAAGAAAGATATAATATAAATTGTACTTAATTCCCTACATTTTCAGTATCCTAGTCGAAACTGAGAAAAGAAATAAGAATATATTCTCATTTTAGCTACATGTAGGCCTATAAATAGGACAATTTCCTGGAGGTAAAATTATTTTAAAATGAGAGTGATTCAACCTATCTAAAAGCAACAAAGAATTTGTTTTTGGAGGTCATTTTCCAGACTCCCTAATGATTTTGTTTTGCATTGAAAGTATTAAAAATTCATTTTCTAAATCTGGCATTGATCATCTTTCAGCTTCTCCTTAGAAAACTGTTGTTGTTGTTATATGCCATTGAGTCGGACGCGACTCACAGCGACCCCTCCTTGGGTTTCTGAGGCAGTATCACTACAGAAGTAGAGTGCCCAACCTTCCTTCCAAGGAGTGGCTGGTGGGTTTGAACTGCCAACCTTCTGGTTAGCAGTCAAGTGCCTTAGGCACTAGGCTACCAGAGCTCCCCTTAGAAAACTAGTACTTGGTTAATTCAATCACAATGTATCACTTTACTGCCAGCTTATAATCTAGAGTTTATTTGATTAGTGCTAATGTCCTACAATATCTAGGAAAATTTTCTGTTCCTTACTGGTACACAAGAAGCTTAAGTTAGCAACTCTGCCCTTTCATAGGAGAAGAGGATCGCATGAAGAGAGGACCATCTCTTCATGACATTTTCAGCCTGCACCCTCCTTCCTCTGTGTGTCTTGTGTGTATGTGTGTATGTGTGAGTGTGTAGTTTTCTTGGTGTACCCAGTGCTTCCTATTTAACAACTACTCTTTGCTACCAGGGCAAACCTGGAGATTAGCTATGCCAAAGGACTTCAGAAACTGGCAATGAAACTAAGCAAAGCATTACAGAGCACAAAGAAAAAGTAAGTATCATGGAAAAGGTAAGGCAAAATTGTTCTGAGAAATAATAAAAAGTGACATATATTCACAACAACTCTTGAGAGGCCATACTATTATTTCTATTTGGAGATAAGGACATGAGGCTTAAAGAAGTTAAGAAACTTGTTCTAGTTCACACAAATAATGTATCATAGAGCTGAATATATCCTAGGTCTTTATGAGTTCTAAGCTCACATTCATGGTTGAATTTGGGAAATGGTGTTGTTCAGTCAGAAGACCCTGGATTCAGGAAGTATAAAGCCTGCTTTATTTCTTACTCTGTGACCTTCAACAAGTTGCCTAGACTCTCTGCATCTTGGTTCCCTCCTCTAGAAGATGGACTAAGGAAATGTGTTCCATTTTGTGTATGTGCATACAGGTGCATACTAAATGAAATAATACATGTAAAGACTTCAACACATTTGGTGGGAAAAAAAAAAAAAATTTAGTCCTCATTCTCTTCAGTATATTGCTGGACCAAGAATGAAGTAGATTCCTTCTTTTGGAAGATATGATCCATTACCATGAAGACCTCAGCCTTCATGACCCTGAGACTAGAAGAACTAGATGGTGCTTGGCTCCCAAAGCCACCCACTCAGAAAGGGATCAAAATTGGAGATCCTGGTTAGAGTGGGAGGGAAAATGTGCAACAAAATTCAGAAACACAAAAATGACCAGACTTACTGGTCAGATAGAGATTGATGGGACCCACAAAATTAAGACCCTGGCTTATCCTTCAGGCCTAGAAACAGACTCACTTCAGTGGATTGGCTCTCAGCCCAAGAGCAGAAAGGCCTACATGCAGAGCACCTACCTCAGGGAGATGTACCCACCTGAGCTAGGGAGATGTACCCCTTAAATCACTCAACCATGAGACATCAGAGGGGTAACATTCACGTAGAGGGAAAGCAGGACAGGCAGGAAGGCATAGATGAGAGAAGGGCACAGGGAGGGGGTAGTCACAGAGAGGAGAGAGGAGGAAAGACTTTTGTGGTTGAGGATTGTAATCCGACCTGTGAAACCAAATGTGCATGAACTGCTGAATGCAAAAGAAATCTGCTTTGTGAATTTGCACCCAAAGCACAATTAAAAAAACAAAGAAAGAAATGGTCCATTAGTGATAATTTACTAAGAAGATTCTTAATGTATGCAGATATGACCATAAACTTGACAGTGCCATTACAAAGGCTTCTTTTGATAAGAGAGAGAGAAAGAAAAAGGAAGTCTTTGGAGCTCACATTCATATTCTTCTTTAGACATCATCTGTAGTAGTAAATGATGACTTTGAAATTGCTCTGACTTTTACCTGTATTTTTATTTTTAGGGTAGTATTTTACTAGACTACAAAGAGCCTGTATATCACAGTGTTTGGTACAGATAGACTTTATTTAGGCTGCCCAGATTTAAATTTTAACTCTACTTACCAGGTGGGTAACCTAGGACAATTTATTTATTTTCCTTCTCAACGTCTCTTTAAAATGGAAATAAAACAGTGCAACTATTAGTTTCTCCTCATCTGGAGCAAAGAAGAGTGAAGAAAATCAAAGATGCTTTGAAACAATAGTCCAAAGGGCTAATGGACCATGTGAACCTCATCCTCCACAACCCTGAGACCAGAAAACCTAGAAAGTACCTGGCTACCACTACCAACCACTCTGAAAATGATCACATTGGAAGCTCCTGGATAGACTGGAAGATAAGTGTGGAATAAAATTAAAAATCATAAAAAAGACCAGGATCACTGGTCTGATAGAGATCAGTAAAAACCTCCTCCATTTTATAGAAGAGATGCAGAGAGTCCAGGCTATTTATTGAAGGTCACAGAGTAAGAGATAAAGCAGGTTTTATACTTCCTAAGTCCAAGGTTTTCTGACTTAACACCACTTCCCAGACTATGGCCTTTAGTCACTCTTCAAGCCTGGAACTGAACTCACACCCATGGCTCAACTTTCAGCCAAACAATAGATCTATAAGGTGACCAACAACACCAGGGAGGTAGGCACACTTTAGAATAATCAACCATTCCAGATCAAAAGGGCAGCATTTTTCCAGGAACAAAGTTCAGAAGGCAGAAAGAGATAGAGAAAAAGAAAAAATGGAAATGGAGAACACAGGGAGGAAGTGCGATGAGTGCTGGTATGTTGTTGGGATTTTAATCAATGGCATGAAACAAAATATGTATGAATTGTTGAATGGAAAATTGTTTTGCTCTGTAAACCTTTGCACAAATCACAATAAAAAGTTCAAAGAAAAAATTTAAATAAGGCCTAGATCATAGGGTTGCTGTGAAGGTTCAATGAGTTAATGCAGGAAAGGGACTTAGCAGAGTACCTGGCTCAGAATAAATATTTCACAGATGTTCAGTATGGTGTTGATTTTAATTATCACTTTCAGAATGAGAGGTACAGGGGTCCAGCGTTACATATCTTATTAATGTTGTAACCCTATCATCCAGCATAGTACAACCAAAGAGTTGACTTGCCTATGTTTGATTAACTAGGATTAGTACAATAATATTTAATAACAAACTTTAAGTTAATTTTATCTATACTGAAATTCGATTAGGTATTGTAAAGCCATCCCAAATCATTTGTATTTTAAAAGGTCAGTGAGTTGAGGGTCGGAGAAATCCGTAGTTTTTCCAAGGTCTCACAGGAAACTACATGAGCTGCTCAATTCAAATAGGTCTCTCTGCCTCCTGTATTCTTGCTTTCAGGGAGCTCTGGTAGCATCGTGCCTAAGGCACTTGACTGCTAACCAGAAGGCTGGTGGTTCAAACCCACCAGCCACTTCTTGGAAGGAAGGTTGGGCAATCTACTTCTGTAGTGATATCCCCTGGAAAACCCAAGGAGGGGTTGCTTTGAGTTGGGTCCGACTTGACGGCACATAACAACAACAACAACAATAGCTCTCCTCAACGGCTCCTCTAAAGGGTAAATGTCAGATTCTCTTCTGAACAATGTGCCTGGCTTCTTTTTATAAGGTTCTTTTTATTGAGATTTAATTTCCTTACAATAAAAATCTCTCATTTTAAGTGTATAATTTGATAAATGTTGGTGTATTTATATACCTTAGTTACCACCACCAGAATCAAGATGTAGACATTTCCATCACCCTAGAAAGTTGCTTGTACCTGTTTGTAGTCTCTTTCACACCTATCCTGAAGCAACCACTGGTCTGCTTTCTGCCTGTATGTGTTGTTGTTGTTATGTGCCATTGAGTCGGACTCGACTCATACCGACCCCTTCTTGCGTTTCCAAGGCAGCATCACTACTGAAGTACCAGTATCACTAGTGAAGTACATTGCCCAACCTTCCTTCCAAGGAGTGGCTGGCGAGTTTGAATCACCAGCCTTCTGGTTAACAGTCAAGTGCCTTAGGCACTATGCCATCAGAGCTCCCTCTGCCTGTGGAGATGAACTTTATCTTCTTTTCTGTAATGTCCCGTAAATGGAAGTACATTATATACCTTCAGGTGCCTGGTTTTGTGCCTGGCTTTAGATAAGCAGAAAATCTGACGTCTTTGATCTAGTTCTCCCGTTCTTAGACTCTACGGTGCAACCTACGCCACGAGGAGACAAAACTCTGTACCACCCTGATTTGGGGCAGGGGTGCAAATCTGTCCTCTCTCTTCTCTCCCCCCATTAAAGATGACACAAGCCTCTGTCCCTCTGACACATTGGGGCTTACCATATGCAACACTGTGAGCTGTGTCCCTTCTGTGGAGTACTAAGTGTGACGAGGGCTTCCTTTGTGGAGAAAACAGCATGACACTTCTTAATTCTCCTGTGCTGCTGGGAAGAGGGTGGTACCATCCTTTCTGTTAAACTGGGATACTGTTACAAGACCATAAAATAGCTGTTTTCCTAAAAGCCAGCAGAGAATAGGAGACAGATCCCATCCACTGGAGCAGCAAACAGGGTGGGACTAGGGGTCTGGAGTCCTTCATCACTTGTTGTCTTCGTTTGCTAGTGCTACTGTAACAAAAAAAAATTACCACAAATGGGTGGTATTTTAAAGAACAGAAATTTATTTTCTCACAGTTTAGGAGCATAGAAGTCCAAATTCAGAGCACCTGCTATAGGGCAAGCCTCTCTTTCTGTTTGCTGTGGGGGAAGACCCTTGTCTCTTTCAGCTTCCGTAGCCACAGTAGTTCTTGATTCCACAATGATCTTCACATGGCATCTGTCTTCCTCAGTATGTGCTTGCTTCTGTGTCCAATCTGTTCTTTTTTATCACTTGAAAGTGATTCCCTACATTGATAATAGCATCATTAACATAACAAATTCCTATCCAGAAATAAGATTACAGCCACAGGTATAGGGATTGGGATTCCAACACATATTTTGGGGGAAACAATTCACTTACCTTCTCTGAGCCTCAATTCATTCATCTGTGAAATGAGGAACTTGGAAAACATTGTCTTTAAGGCCCTTTGGACCATAACATCCTATCTGCCACCTGTTCTAAATGCCATCTCACTCTTGGCTACTTTATTCCACCTATTTTCTATAGAAATGAAATGGAAAATAAAGATCTAAATGAAAAATAACTGAAAAAAGCAGTACAATCATTATAAACCAGAAAAAAAAAAAAAAACACCGCTGCCATGGAGTGGATTCCTACTCATAGTGACCCTCATTGGATTTCTGAGGCAGTAAATTTTTACAGAAGTAGATTACCCACTTGGTTGAAACCCACCAATCTTCTGGTTATCAGTCAGTTGCCTTAGTCACTGTGCTACAAGAGCTCCTTATACTTACTATAAGCCAAACTCCCTGCCATAGAGTCAATTTGACTCATAGCAACCCCTCCTTGGGTTTCCGAGTTGGTATCTCTACGGAAGAAGATTGCCCAGTCTTCCTTCCGAGGAGTGGGTGGTGGGTTCAGCTGCATCCTTCTGGTTAGCAGTCAAATGCCTTAGGCACTGCGCCACCAAAGCTCCTTATAATTACTATAGTGCAGAGAAATATATGACAGACTTTAATCCAATGAAGAAATTAGATTAGGGAAATGAACGTGATTGCTACACATAGTGAATCAGATGTGATGCTTTATTTCTCCATATTGACTGGGAAAATGACAACCACCCCTCTCCCCTCCCCACTCATCCCTACTCATTTTTGTCTGCAGTTGTATCAGTGTCGCCTGGGCCTGGGCCTCGGAGGGCATGAAATCCACAGCAGACCTGCATCAGTGAGTGATTCCACTGCCTTACTCCCAACCCAAAGGGAACTGTAAATATTTAATGTGGATGCTACAAAGATTTCACTTCAAACCTTCACTGAGTAGACACACCGTAACACATTATTTTATTGCCCCTGAAAATAATTTGGAAAGTAGATGTAAATCTTAATACTATGTTTGTGGGTTTTTTATATTCTATTCCCAGAAAACTTGGCAAAGCAATTCAGTTGGAAGCAATAAAACCAACTCATCAAGTCCTGAGTGTACAGGAGAAGAAGAAAAAATCAGTGAGTCAAAAACCTTTCTTTTCTCCCCTGCTTAAAACAAGATTTCTGTCTTTGCCCAAAGAAAGAAATGATGATCTAAAAGTAAAGCTAGACTTCAGGAATGTATCATAAAAAAAATAACAACACAAACCCAAGATTTATATACAAAAGTATTGGTTAGAGTATTGTACAACAGTGAAAGACTGGAAACTAATGAAATGTCCAGGTAAAAGGCTTTGCCCTAATTTACAACTAATTTCCCTGGGGGATTGCCTAGATTCATTTCCATCGCTATTATTATTATTACAGTCTCTTACATTTTTAAAAGAAAAGAAAGTTAGTTATGATTAAGAATTCATTTTCTTTCAAAGTAAAGCAATATTCACTTCAGGGACGAAGGAGACAGTAAAATCAGCACTGCGAGGAGCGTCATCCATCCTCATGGTGCTACAGGTATTAATGTGGGAGGGGATGTGATGGGACCGGAAGTGATACCTATACAGAGTCCTACTTCACTCTGGTAGCATAGTGCCTAAGGCACTTGACTGCTAACCAGAAAGCTGGTTAGGGTAGTTAGTGATTGTGCCAGAACCATGACTCAACAAGAAGACAGCAAAGCATTTCTTTCTCTCTCTCTCTCTCTCTCTCTCTCTCTCTTTTTCAATAGCTTGATAACGAAGTTGAAAAAACAGCAAATCTTGTCATTAGCAACTGGAATCAGCAAATTAAGGTAAGTATCCACAAATATTTGCCTAAACACAGTACTCAGGGTTGGAGCTTTTCACTTTTGCACAAACAAGATAATGTGTTATAGCATTAATACTTTTAGGTGATAATTTAAGAGAAAAATGCTTCCTTACCTATCACAGATATGTATCTTTCAGCCAAGCCAATAGAAGAGCATGGTTCTAAATTTGGTTATTAGGCTGTGAGTCAGATCTGACTCGATGGCAGTGAGTTTGGTTTTTGGGGTTAACACATAACATTTATTTTGTGCCAAAGTGCTACATATTTATGTATTTGATTATCACAAAAATCTAGGTAGGCGACCTTGTACTGTCCTTTTCTATAGATAGGAAAACTGAGACACAGAGGTTAAATAATTTGCCCAAGTTTACAAACCTGGTAAGTGGTTGACTAGGATTTGAATTTAAGTATGAGCTCCAGGGTCACTGCTCTTAACTATTATACTATACTGACTGCCTCTCTGCATGCTCTATAATCTTGGGCAAGTGACAAATACCATCTGAATTTGCATGTTTTATTTTTAGCAGTGATCTCTACCTCACTATTAAGAAGAGCTTAGTGAGGGGTGGGGAATAATGTGAAAAGGGGAATATAT